CGGAACCCAGTCCATGCGTGCATGGGTTGATGGGTTCACTACTAAAGGTCTTGGACATAGCAAACCAGATGTCCTTGAAAGTTGTTCTGTCTATTGAGACAAATGTCAGACTATATGTAATTTATGGGGGACTTTCTTGTAACAGTGTTTATGCACACCCATTGTAATTTGTGCAAATATGTAAGTAAATTTCACCTGAAAATGACATTAAATAGATCCTTTGGGGGAAAAGTAGTTGACAAAATACATAGGCAGTAGGTTTACTGAAAAGTAAAAGCCATCATCAATGGAAGAAAGAACACTTACTCAGAGGGACTTACTCAGAGGACATGGCAGGTGTCCTGGCTCATCGCAATTATTCTATCTTCCAGACTGCCCTGTCCTTCCTCAGGAAGGAGATTCAAATCAGCCCCCATAGACAAATGTGAAAGACTTATTGACTGAAGCAGCAAAAGTCAGGAACTTGTAGCATGGCTCAAGTTGTATGTTTAAGCACTGAACAAAAAAATAACTAAGAGCTCAAGGCCCTGAGTTCAAACTCTACTACTGGCACAAAAGATAAAGACATCGAAACCTGAAATGTGTGCAATGGTAGCTTTAATCCAAGGGAAAAGAGATGTATAGAAATGGGAAAATTACATATTAGTTTAAGCAAAAAGGCCAGACTTATACATTCGGTCCAGATATGAAATAGAAAAAAGAAATGAAGTTTCCCCTCACACATCAATTCCTGGCCATCAATTTCATCAAATAGGCACAACACTGGGTTTGAATGATTCATTGCTCTTCATACTACAAAGTCATAATCTCTAATTAACCCTAAAAAAAGAAAGAACTGGGGTCAGGCTCAAGTGGCAGAGCACCAGCCAAGAGCAGAAACAACTGAAGAATAAGAAAACAGCAAAGAAGCTTGCAGACCACAGCTGCTATGCTAAGGCTGAGTCTTGTCTCTCTGGGGATCAGGACATGTAGTATTATTTTTCTATCTCCACCTACTTCAACCTGAACACTAAAATGAGTCACTAAAATGAGCCTCTGTTGAGACTTTGTGCAACTGTCTTTTGTGAAATACCCTATATTGTTAATCCCATGTATCTCAAGGACAAGTGATGTTTGGCTCAATGGGTAGATGCTAGCCTTGAGCAGAAAAGCTCAGCAATAATGCTAAGGCCAGTGTCGACATGCCAAAGAACCGATGCAATTTACACACATTTCTCAAGGGCTTAATGAGTTTTCCATATGTTTAAAGGTAGCGTTTATTTCTTTTTAGTTAAGTGAGATAATTCCTAGTCATTGTATATTCCGAGTTTCATGGTTCCATTCTGCCTTTTTTTTCTTCAAAAATGCTCTGGAGATTAGGACCATTTAGAATATATTTGTTAAAGCAGAGCAGATTTTTTCCTTCATGAATCAAAGCATTTTATATTTATGCAAATGGTTTAGTTGTGGGTGGTCCATGTGTGCATTATTGAAACCATATACGGCTATACTTGAAAAGATGATGCAGCTGACCATGGAGATGGTATGGAGATATTATTGGCTTAACTGTAGAATAACCCAGTGGTGAGTGGGGGTGTGGCTGTTCATGTTCTGTGGGAGCATGTGGAATGATTTATAAAACACCAAATAGATTCCAGCTAGCCAAATGCGGATCAGGATGATGTGGTACTCTGTAGTGAATTGTGAAAGAATAGGAAAAACATCTTAGATATCCAGATACATTTTCTGAATGGAGTTATGAGGAATTTCTCTGTCTGTCTGCCTGTCTGTCTCTCTGTTTGGTCGTAGAGCTTTAACTCATGTGGGCACTGTCTCTGAGCTCTTTTTGCACAAGGCTAATGCTCTTCTACTTTGAGTCACAGCTCGCCTTCCAATTTTCTGGTGCCCTGTGTCCTGTGTCACTAGATAAAATAAACTAGTGTCTAAGGCCTTCCAGAGGGCTTTGTGTTCCTAGGGCTGTGGGAGGAAGAGGGTGGGGCCTCTCCACCCCGCCCCTAGCCCCGCCCTTACCCGCCCCGCAGAGAGGAGAGGGGAGGACGCGCTCCCTAGTGGCCCAGTCCAGGCACAGGCCCGCCCCTCCCCGCCCAGCCTGAAGCCACGCCCCTCCCGACCCTCCCGCCCCGGAAGCCGGGTCTGCTCCTCTCACGACGCCGACGGCGCCGGGCTCCCTGTGGTCCCGCGGCCCTTATAGTTCCGGTTGTGTTGCCCGGGCGGAAAGTTGAAGCGGACGGACTGTGGCCGGCGATGGGCTTGGGGTGAGTGGAGGTGGCAGCGGCGGCGGCGGCCTGAGGGTCGCGTTCAATCGGTAGTAGGGACACAGGCGAAGGGCGAGGTGAGAAGAGCCGCGCAGGCCCAGCGCCCGGCCATTGCGGCCTCCCCGCGCCGGCTCTGGGGCGCCATTCCCGGGGTCCCTGCGCTCCGCGACCCGGGGCTGCCGAGCGCTGTGTGAACAGCCACATTGCGCCCCGTTTTAGGCCCCTCTCTCCCCGCTTTCCTCAGGAGGGACTTCCCGGTCTCGGATTCTTTTCATTGATTTTAGAGGTTGGTGGTCGGTTGTTGGGGGGGGCACCTCCCGTCGCCGTCCGCATGGAAGCACATTTGCAGCCAGACGTCTGCCCGGGAGAAGGCTGACAGGTAGCTGCGGCCTCCGCGGCGGCTGGGAGACTCAGACGAGGCCCACGCTTTGAGGCTCGCCCCCTGAGGGGTTTGGTTTTGTTCTAGCGCTGGTTCTGGGGCCTTGAACTCAAGGCCTGAGCCCGGCCCTGAGCTCAAGGCTAGCGCCCTACCACTGGAGCCACACTTGCACATCCCGTTTTCTTTGGTAGGTTAATGGAGATTAAAAAAAGGAAGTCTCAAGGACTAGGATTCCTGGCAGGGCTGGCTTCGAACCACCATCTTCAGCTCTCAGCCTCCTGTTGATTACCGGCGTGAGCCGCTGATGCAGGCCTTAGCTGGACGGTGTTCTGTAGAGCTGCTGAGACGCTTCAATCACTTTTCTTCAAGCATCCATCCAACACCGTGTTCTGTCACACACAGAGAACATGACTGAAGAGCGAAGCAGCGGTGCTGCTACCACATTTTTAACAGGGTTATGTTGAACAAACAACTTTAATAGGCAGAGATGAGAGAGACAAATTTAAATTTGTCTATCAAAATTGTTAAACATTTGGGACTTCTCAGGAGTGAATTTTTTTCTGGTTAGTCTATTGATGTGAAAATCTGAACTATTTGAAACATCTATGTCTATTATGAGGTTTTAAAAAATACGCTTTTGGGGCTGGGAAGGTGGCTCAGTGGTAGAGTGCTTGCCTTGCATGCATGAAGTCCTGGGTTCGATTCCTCAGCACCACATAGGCAAAAAAAAAAAAAAAGCCAGAAGTGGCCCCAAGACTGGACCCCCAAAAAAAAAGAAAATTTAAAAAAAAAGGAAAATTTAAAAAAAAAACGCTTTTGCTGTTTAACCTGTGTTCCTAACCCTCTATTTAAAACATTGTTTCAGTCAGGTTTAATTCTAGCTACTTAGCAGGCTGAGACCTAGAGGATCACATCTCAAATCCAACCCAGATGGAATCCTACAGATTCCCATCGTAATACTGGCACACTCACAAAATTTAAAATAATTCTATGCACAAAAATAAATAACAAATACAGAGACCCACTGATGTGGATACAACTTGTTGATCCTCTGTTAAGAAACTATAGTGTGCCTGGCACCAGTAGTTCAAGCCTATAATCCTTAGCTACTTAGGAGGCTGAGATCTGAAGAGTTAAAAGCAGTTAAAAGCCAGCCCAGGAGCCTGGCACCGGTGGCTCACACTTGTAATCCTAACTACTCAGGAGGCTGAGATCTCATGATCAAGGTTCAAAGCTAGCCCAGGCAGGAAAGTCTGTGAGACTCATCTCCAATGAAGTACCAGAAAACCAGAAGAGAGGCTATGGCTCAAAGGGGTAGAACTCTAGGCTTGAGTGAAAAAGCTCAGGGACATCGCCAGGCCCTGAGTTCAAGCTCTACCACCGAAAGGAAAGGAAAGAAGAGGAAAGGGAAGGAAAGGAGAGAGAAACTGTAGTCTGTTGACACAATGAAATAGCATGTAGTTACAAATAAATGACCCAGCTAAAAAAAAATACATAACCAAGGAAAGTGGGTTACAGGAATACATGTGTATACTTCGTACAATGTATACAATTGTGGAAGACTTTAGGTAGATGTAAAAACATTACACAAAGTTAATGTTCACTAAGTTTGTTTTTTGGAATTCCCTTCAAAATGTTTAACAATAGCCAGACTGCTTGCTGGTACAATGCCCAAGCACGGATGTGTGATATTCTAAAACTCAAATTATAAGGGAGCTGTTGGAAACTTAGAACATAGTGGTTCACAGGAGCCAAATTACATTTCATTTATATATTTATTTAATTTTACTTTGGGGCTGCTATTGGGGCTTGTATTCAGGGCTTCATGCTTTCCCTCACCTTGCTGGTTCATGACTGATGAGCAGACTGGCTCCAAAATGAAAGCCTCTAACCTTAGCTTCCTGAGTATCTAGTATTACAGGCCACCAGCATTAAGCTATAATGTGTGTGTGTGTGTGTGTGCGCGTGCATTAATGCACCCCAGTATTGAGACTTAAACTCAGGGCCTGGGTGCTGACCCTTAGCTCCCCCTTACCCCCGCCTCCCACTCAAAGCTAGTACTCTACACTTGAGCCACAGCTCCACTTCTGGCTTTTTGGTAGTTAATTGGAGATAAAAGTCTCACAGACTTTCCTGTCTGAGATGGCTTCCAACCATGATCCCCAGATCTCAGCCTCCTGAGTAGCTAGGATTACAGTTGTGAACCACAAGTGTGTATATGTGTGTGTGTGTATCTCTGTCTCTTCCCCCTCTCTATATATGTATATATACATAAATGTATATATGTAAGTATATATATATATTTATATAAATAAATACATACTTTATATAAAAATTGAAAGTTGGAAGTAAGGCCTACCTTTAATGCTTTTTCCCACTGGTAATAAGGTAGCCCTTGATTCACAGGTGTAGATAGTGTGTTTTGAGTGTGTCTGGGAGTGGTCTTCCCAGTGAATTAGGCTGCTGTCTTCTTTCTCCCAGAATTCTCTGCGGATTGACCTATATAGGGGTCACCTTGCCTTATTTCTGGAAAATTGGTTACAGTTATGGTGAAAAGATACTGCTTTCCTTCTGTGACACTTCTATTTTTTTCCCCACAGCATTTCACTATTTATAGCTTGTTTTCTGCATTCTGACTGGGCTCGCTTGGATTCTGTTCACCATGCCAACAGTGGTGGTGATGGACGTGTCCCTCTCCATGACTCGGCCTGTGTCAATCGAGGGGTCTGAGGAATACCAGCGGAAGCACCTTGCAGCCCATGGGTTGACAATGCTGTTTGACCACACGGCCACAAACTACAAGCTTGAATTCACAGCATTAGTGGTTTTCTCATCACTTTGGGAGCTGATGGTCCCCTTCACAAGAGATTATAACACCCTGCAGGTACAAAAAGGAATAAAGACCCAAGTTGATTGGAAAGAAAGCAGTATGATAATAGTGTAATGATTTTAGACCTTAGAATTATTTAATAATGAATATAAAGGCACTTAATATGCACAGCTATAAAGCATAATTCATAACCAATAGGTCCTAGGCCTTTCTTTTGTAAAGCAATGAGGTAGAGAAAGAGGTCATGGGGGCTGGGAAGGTGGCTGACTGGTAAAGTGCTTGCTTCGCATTCATGAGGCCCTGGGTTGGATTCCTCAGCACCACATAAGCAGAGAAAGGTCATGGTCCATTTTCTTAGGAATTCTTAGGAAAGGTGAAGATTTCAGCATTACCATGCTTCAGTCCCTAAATTCAACATTTTTTGCCATTCTGCTGTTTTCTACTTTCTCATACAATTTTGAGGTAATGAAAAATAGCCCTTATTAAAACACACACACACACACACACAAAAAAACTTCTTCTAGAAAGTTCAGATGATGCTTACTCTCCAACAGATAGTATTCATTTATAGATGCCAAGATATTATTTTTTTTCTTTTTCTTCTTTTTTTCCATCGTGGGGCTTGAATTCACGACCTGGACATTATCCTTGAAATTTTTGCTCAAGGTTGGCACTCTACCACTTGAGCCATAGCTCCATGGACTCATAGTCTCATGGACTTTCCTGCCCAAGATGGCGTCAAATGTTAGATTTCAGCCTCCTGAGTAGCTAGGATTACAGGTGTGAGCTACTAGTACCCAGCTCAATGTTGTCATTTTAAAATCTTAATAGGTATTGTCTTTCAAAGATATTTTTCTGAGATAAGCCAGATGTCTTTATTTTTTTTTCAAATTCTTTATTGAGATTAAGTGATTACATAATTTCCCAAATTTCACTGTATTGCGAGATAGTGATGCTTAGTTAAAATCACAAACACATTCTAATTTCATGGGGTAAATTGTCTGTCGTGATCTGTAATATTTATTCTATGAGCTAGCCAGATGTCTTTAAACCATTAATATCTCCTATAGTTCTTAGCACCTTGTCTTGGCCAGTGAGTAGACAATAAATGTTTCTGAAATTAAACTGAGCAATTAAATAATTTTTGGGCAATTTGGAATTGCAAGATTAATGTAGTTTGAATTCTTAGTCATTTTTTTTTTTGTTGTCAGTCGTGGGCCTTGAACTCTGAGCCTGAGCACTGTCCCTCAGTTCTTCAGCTCAAGGCTAGTGCTCTACCACTTGAGCTATAGTGCCACTTCTGGTTTTCTGGTGGTTTATTGGAGATAAGAGTTTCATGGAATTTCCTGCCCCTGCTGGCTTTGAACCGCAATCCTCAGATCTTAGCCTCCTGAGTAGCTAGGATTGCAGGCATGAGCCACTGGCGCCCGGCTGAATTCTTACTAATTTTTATTAAAGCTTTCCTTTTATTATCTTGCATCTTTATGAGACTTAAATTTTTGTTTTAATCATACCGGTGGACTTTTGGTAGTACTGGGTCTTGAATTCAGGACCTCATGCTTGGTAGGTAGATGCTCTACCACATGAGTCATACTTCCAACCCTTTTTTGTACTGGGTATTTTCAGATTATAGTCTCAGTTTATGCCCTGGATGGTTTGGGCTTTGATCCTTCCACTTGTGCTTCCCCATGTCAGTGGGGATAACAGGTGTGTGATACCACACCTAGTCTTTGGTTGAAATAGAGTCTTGTGAATTTTCTCCCCAGGCCAGCCTCTTAACAGCAATTTCCCAATCTCTGCCTCTCAAATAGCTAGGATTAGGGGCGTAAGCCACCCCACTCTGCTTGAAATGGTTTTCTTATAAGTTATTTAGCTAAAGATTTTTTTTGTGTTTAGCAGTTCTAAAATTTAGAGAATTGCAATGTAATGAATGAGGTGTAAGAGGTAAAAGCAGAAGCTCTGGAGTCAGGCCACTTCTTAAAAATTTCCTCATTTAGGGCTGGGAAGGTGGCTCAGTGGTAGAGCACATGCTTGCATGCCAGAGGCCCTGGGTTCGATTCCTCAGCACCACATAAGCAAAAAGAAAAACTGGAAGTGGCGCTGTGGCTCAGGTGGTAGAGCGTTAGCCTTGAGCTGAAGAGCTGAGGGACAGCACCCAGGTCCAGAGTTCAGGCCCTATGACCGGACCCCCAAAGAAATTCCTCATTTAAAAGTAGGGTGAACAATGGTAGGATGATTAAATCTGTGTAAAGTGCACAGAATGGTGTTTAGGAGATTATGGTTAGTGGTCCATACATTTTGTTCATTACTTTAAGCTTATTTCATTGTCCTTTACAGTTGAGGAGGTCTGTTTTGCTGTGTGTGTGCGTGTGTGTGTGTGTGCGTGCGTGTGTGTGTGTGTGTGTGCGTGTGTGTGTGTGTGTTTGTTTTCTGGAACCTATGCTTTGCGGCTTACAGAAACTCAGTGTTCGCTGTATGATATTCAGACTTCGTACAGTTTATATTGGTTTCTAATAACAAAACAGCAGAGAATAATGAGCAATTTTTTTCTTGCCCAATAAGGAAGCACTGAGTAACATGGACGATTACGACAAGACATGCCTAGAGTCCACACTGGTTGGTGTCTGTAACATTGTTCAGCAAGAATGGGGCGGTGCGATCCCTTGCCAGGTAATGCTTAGTGTTTTTCAATGTCCTTAGTTAATATCATTAACGAGCCAGCCTACCTACTAAGGAGGCTGAAATCCAAGGATTGCTGGTCAAAGCCAGCCCAGGCAGGAACGTATATGAGACTCTCATCTCCAATT